ACAATTAATTATTTTGATAAACTTTATCATCTTGTTGTATGCATAGCAATTTCATTTGAAAGCTTTAACTTTACTGGATCATAAGCATACTGTCGATTCACCTGTTGTATTAGAAAAGTATATAACTATGCGATAGAGTCACTATTTGAACTTACTTGCAACAAGTTGACTACATTACAAAGTTATTCAATTCCAGAAAGAAAAGTCGAATGCACAACGATTGTTACTCTATAAGAAACTCGAGATTTGTATGGGTACATAGAGTACTATTAAGGTTTGCCAATTTCACATACAAGTTTGCAAATTTCTTATGTTTACATTGATACATTTGGTACATTTATCATAATATCATAAATAGATGACATAAAGGCTCTCCTGTGGGTTAGAGATATAAGGTTTTAATCAGAAGTTTTACATTCAATAACTGCCTCAGACTAGTAATATATTTTCACGCGAAAATAGCACTTTGAAGCAAAAACTATTTGCCAACCAAAAAATTTCAAGCAGGAAGTCCGTGTTATAGGGGGCCGTCTTGCTGGGAAGCTTCAATTAAAAACGCAACCGTGAGATTATCCTCTAATAGAGATTATCCTCCATGGGAAAGTTCTTGTAGATAATATATTGTATATAAAATTGAAAATATATTCGTTGTCGCATAAAGCTTCCTGATTAATATTCATGTTAATGTTTTTTCTAACAAATAATTACGAATAAATCGTTCGGCAGATTTTTACCAAAACTAATTAGTACGATTCGACCAAATGATATCTATTGAACGGTTTTTCAAATTTTCAAAATCGAGATTTTTAGCGAAAATGTGGACAAAAGATTCTCCTTTTTTCTTTTAATCCTATAAACGATTCGGTCGGTCGTCAATCGCAAAACTAATCAACAGAAGTTTTCCTTACTAAAGTGTGAGTTTCATCAAATGGTTTCTAAATTTTTGATGTTACGCAAACAGTATACAGCCATTCGAAAACGTCGACAAGAGGTCAAATTTTGACTCACATACACTAACTTTTCCCATGACTAGAAGCGTAAATTTAGCAACTAGGATTTTCTGGCAAAAATATGAACTTATCCTTCGGAAAGTTATTAACTGAGTTTAAAACATGAGATACTCGTAACCATATAAAAAAATAAAAATACGAAAGTCTATGAATTTTGTTCAATGTAACAATGATCCGAACAAATATAAGTATGTATATTCTACGATCCGGAAAAAATCAAATATTATTTAACATCCGCTCTTTGTTTTCCTGAACAAATAGAATGTTGTGATGCTTAGTTATTAAGAAAATAATTAAAATAATGCGTAGCAACTAATTTTAATAATTTTGCCAAAAATGAAGGCATTAAGATATTAATTGATTGTCAATTATATCTCGCTTTCATATACAATTTTTTCAACATTTTGTTTCAGTTTTCGAGTGTGATGTGAAAGATATGAGACAAGCCGTACAATTAGTAGAGTTTAATTACAGCTGTCTACTATAATAGTGGAAACTATAATTGATGATTATGTTTTGCAAATAAGGTAAGTTTATGAGTACTTCAAAGTTGTATAGACTTTGAATTTCTATTTCTGTGCTAGAATTTATGTATTTTATACTAATAATGAATTTACTTCCAATGAGTGTTACACAAGTGATGTATATGAACTATTAATGATGTATTAATTTAAGTGCATTAAATATGCGAATGTTAAAAGATTCAATACCCCTATGCCTTATTTTTATGTTATTTATGTATATGTTACATATTTATATTATATTAAGATATAATATTTTAAGTTTCCTTTTAATTAAAATTTCAATTTTTTATGCTTATTTATTCATATAACGTAATCTTCTTATATATCATTGAAAAAAAAGAGCAAATGTGTGAATGGTAACACAATTTTGTGTAGCATCTATCAAATAAAACGCACACTGTATCAATGCTATAACAGAATAGATCGATGCAATGCATCAAATTAATTAAAATTTATATTTTAGTTATTCAAGTTTAAAGATATGTAACTGCATGCAAATGATGTACTATATCTGCACATGCTTTATAGCCGTTTCAGCTGTTAAATTTATTTAAATTCAAATTTTAATTCTGCATTTAGCCATTTTACGAAATATTACTCTAAAAATCTTATTTATTTAACTATATCCAAAATATTTTTATTATGAAAATTAACTAATGATCTTTTGTAATGGGCCAAAAATCGAAAATGAAAATTTTTGCATATTTTCATGCTTCAGAGGTTTCTGAATATTTAGGCTAACCTCAGAAAAAATGAATGTGTGTGTGCGTATGTGTGGAGACAATTTTTCGTCGACGATTTTGAACATACGGATTATGCGATTTGAATGGTTCAAAAAACATTCGATTCTTATGAGGATGACGAGACATGCTGATTACTTATTGACCAAGACAGGTCCAGTTTAGCAAATGCTAAATGTTAGTTTTTTAGAGAACAGATCGACCAATTTGAATGATCCATGGGGAGAAACGATGATTAGACTTTAGCAATGGCAACCAGTACCGAAGACACGAGGCAAAAAGTGCCAAAAATGACAGTTTTTGAGAGAACTAAGCATCCGATTTGAATGATTAAAAAAACTTTTTGCTTGTGTTGACAAAACGATTGCTTTTGAGGAAAGAAATTTTTTTTATTAAATTTTTTTTTAAATTAAAAAAAATTTTTTTTTTGGGTATCAAAGAATAATTTGGATTTTAATTCTAATTCTAGCTGAAGTTCTAAACATCACATATATACTTTAAATAAAAATTTTACTATGCAATTCAATTTATATAATTTTTAGAAATATTAGACAATGTTCTTCATTTTGAATCCGATTGATTAAGTTTTGTTTATTTATATTTTATAAAATAAGAATAATGAAAGTTATATTATTTATAATAATCTATTTAAAACATTTATTACTCCTCGCATATTTGATTATGGTACGGAAAGGTCCAGCAATTGGCCTTAAGGCACAATGCCATACACCACTAGTTTCGTACAGCACTTTAGTTAATAGAATATCAAAAAATATCTTTTTTTATTACTATTTAAACACTCATGTATTTGTGAATAAATTGACTACAATAGCAGAAAACAAATATTAAATTAAAATATAATACTTTAATTATTTTGATAAGTTATATGTTTGCGGATATCAAACGTTAGTACACAAGCCTAAATACTCTGGCACAACCAAAAAAAGATGTAACAGATAATAAAAACACTTCCACTTGTTATTGCTGTTCATACATATTTATATAATGGCATTAGATTTACACTTTTTTATATTATAAATTTAATCCTATATTTTTTATACTATTTTATTTATTATAACCGCATTCTACTTTATTTTAACAAAACTATTACTTGCATATTGAGGTGTTAAAATGTTATAAAATTTAATATATAATATATCACAAAGTATTAAAATTTATTTCAATTTTTAAAATTACGATATATTATTGGTTATGCATGATAATCAAAATTATTGCTTATATCAAACACATCTTGAAATTATAATTTCGATAATCAATTTTATTTTATATTTATAAATAACATTTTTATGTTTTAAATAACACTATATTAATAAGTTTAATTCCGTCGGAATTTTTACATCTAACTAAAAAATCAACTATATGATTATTTTTCTAAGATAATCAACCAAAACAAAATTTGATAGAAATCCATAGTTTGATCACCGTTACAAAACAGTGCCGTGAGATAGTATTTGATTCGCGCATCTTACCAAAATTTAGCCAATAAATATTAAAATTTAGCCAAAATCCAATAAATATTAACATTTGAAATAAATATGTATTCCGAAGTAAGGCACCCAACATTTTAATCCTTTTAAAATTTTGTCGTGCCAGGTAGAAGATAGTTCTGACCATCTGATTTGCAGTATGAGTCAGCAACAGGTCACACACAAATAAAAAAACACAATGCCGTATGTTTTCAATGTAGGTAAATAAGAAAATTTAAGTCTAGTTAATTTTTAATAAATTAAAATCAAATGGCAGGTACCAAGCATAACATAAAATATTTATTCAATGATTTGTAAATATACCAACAAAAATAAATATCAGAGAGGGAGTTAAACTACGTTGCATATTTAAGTAAACGTGAATGTTATTAATTAGCGCGCGTATATTATAAATTTGGTATATACTCGAAATATAGTTGGTACACAACACGACTACGAAATTTTTACAACTTGCATTTGACGATCACTAATAATTTTTGCAATAACTGCAATAGTTATGAATATATTAGGTTGTCAAATATCTCCCTTCCGCTTTTTTGCTCTTGGTTTATAATACAAAAAGGCGGAAGGGAGATATTTGATAACCTAATATATAAATGTACGTATCAAAAATTAAAATATGCAGAACCAGTTTCAACAATATATTACAAATTCAAACGTAAACATATACATATATTCAAACAATAGATTGCATATACATAACTTAGAAAACTTCAGCTGTGCCATAAGTTTATTATAACATACAAATTGACTATAAAACTTCATTTAAATAAATTCAAATAAAAGTATACAATGCTTTTATAAAAACATATATCAAATTCATAAAAATAAAAACAATAATTATTATTTACATTGATCGAATTTGAATTTTGCAACATATTAAAGAGCATGAGTTTGGACTATATAATAGTCTGTTGATGATATAAAATAAATGATTGAAAAATAAATATACAACAATAAACTAAACAGTATGTTAACTAAATTTAAGTATAAGTGAATTATAAATGGTCTAGATGTAAAATTGTGTTCACAAACTTGTCAAAAATCAAAGATTGTGGTTGCGGCTACCAGTGCCCACAAATATCCGATTCGCGCCCAAGCAGAAGCGAATAAATAAATTTTCGCCATGCATGTACACAGAAGAAAGAAAAAGCAGCACGAGTCTCCGGTAAAGCAACACATCTTGCGATTTAACACTTAAAATTGTACAGTACTCACAAATAAATCCAGAAAACCTTTCCTGCACGAGACGAAGGTGTCGCTGAACAATAGCAAGTGATAGGAAATAGATTTTATTTTACAATTTCTGGTCAAGTTTTTCGGTCTACGGCACAGTTACGAATGGTCGAGGATAATTTGTACTCAAGCTTTTATACACCTGTGCCTGCATCCTGGAACAGAGGCCGCTGTAGCGCGCTCTCGCTCGCTCGCCGCCCTGTTCCTACTCGGAGGGCGGTCGGACGGTGCCACGGAAACGCGGAAACGCGAAGAGCGCGCGTCATGAGAATACGCCACGTTTTTAATATAAACACGGCTATTGACACCTCTGACAAGATACTTGCTAAGTGACAGACCATAGTAAGATAAATTTGATGGTCACAGGTAAAAACACCTGATACTAACAGAATAACTATAATATATTATTTTCTTTAATCGCCGTAAATAATATTGGGCCTGCCGGATGAACAGAACGTATGCTAGTAATCTCCAGTTTCAGGGTTGTCCCAACCTCCGACAGTTCGATATCAGGCAACATGATATTAATTTTTCACTTGAGATTATAGACTTTTATTTGACTTAAGGCACAATCCTAAGAGAAAATTGTTTTTTGTGGACATTGTGCAGCATAATAACATGATATCAAACTAGTGGTGCATGGCATCATGCCCTAAGTCAAGTTGCTAAAACTTCCCGTACTAAAAACTAAACTTTTTAAAAAAGCTTTTGAAAACTTTAAAAAAATTAAATTTTTGAGAATTTTGCATTTTTTTTTATAAAATTGACTTATTTGAAATGTTAAATTTTTTTAATATTTTGAAATTGTTTGAACATTGTGAATTTTTTAAACTTCCCGTAGGGCAAGTTATAGCAATAGCAAAAAAAAACGAAAATGAAAATTTTCATATATCTTTACGTTTCAAAGGTTTCTGAATATTTTGGCATACCTTAGAAAAAAAAAAAGATGTATGTGTGTGCGGATACAAATTTTCGTCGACGATTTCGGGAACACCGATCAACCGATTTGAATAATCCAAAAAACATACGATTCGTATTGATAAGGAGACTGATTAGTTTTTGGGCAAGGCAGGTCTAGCCGTTCCGAAGATACGGGGCAAACAGTGCCAAAAATGTTTTTAAGAGAACAGAGCGTCCGATTTTAATAATTCAAAAAAATGATCTAATGAAAAAAGTAAAAAAAAAATGCCATTTGGCAGTCAAAAATGATCATTAGACATATGCACATCAAATTATCAAATATTTTATAGAGATTTTAACAATAGTATTTTTTTTTACATTTCTATGGGTTCCGTACCAATGCTTATCCGTTAGACGGCGGCGCGGCACTTACGCGCTTTGACATTTCGTCTCTATGCAGTTCAAAAGCATACGCTTGCTCTGAAAAAAAAAGTTCAGAATTTCCAAAATATGTCAAAATGAAGAAAACATTTTTTTTTCAAAAAAAAAAAGTAATTTTTTGTCAAATTTATAGTTTCTCAAAAATCTAATTTTTTTAAGTAAATTTTTTTCAAAAATCTCAATCGATTTTAAAAAAATAATAATTCTTGGTACGGGAAGTTCCAGCAATTTGCCTTAAGGCACGATGCCATGCGCCCCACTAGTTTTCAAATCAATCGTGCTGTTTTAAAGATGAAATATCGAAGCGCGTAAGTGCCGTGTCGCAGTTTAACGGATAAACATTGGTACAAAACCCATAGAAATGTAAACAAATTTTGTACTTATTATTAAAAAACTTCATATAATATTTAGTTTTGACTTATAAATGGCAATTTTTTAGCTTTTTACACTAGATGTCCAAAACCGCTAGACCTGCCTTGGCCAGAAACTAATCAGCGTGTCCCCTTATTAAAAGGAATCGAATCCTTTGATCCGTGCTCTCAAAATCGTCGACAAGAATTGTATCCACACACGCACACACATACGCACAAACATACACCAACATACACTCACATACACCAATTTTTTCTAAGGTACGCCAAAATATTTAGAATGGTTTGAAACGTAAAAATATATATAAATCATTTTTTTTACTTTTTTGCGATTACTATAACTTACTCTACGGTAGTTAAAAATACTATCAAGTATAGTAATAATAGATCACAATTAAAATATGAAAACTACCAAGTTTCCTCTTAAACAAGCCATATAATACTTGATTTAAATAAATTTCATAGCCGTATACTAATAAATGTATATAAAAATTATAATTATAAATGTCTTCGTAATATATACTACAAAATAATAATAAAAAACTAAACAGTTATTACTATTATGTATATATAACACTTTACGCATTAAAAGCTTTACCGATTGTTGCCAAACTAGGCCAGTTATAATTAAAGTGGAATGCATAGAAATACTTGCTTTTATCTCGGAAAATGTAGCGTCAACAATCAATATCACATGCCTGAACCTCTATTAAATAATATTTTAATTTATTTATTAATTAAATAAATTATAGCTGTAAAAAATGGACAAGAGATATTGTAGCAATGTAGATTGTAATACGAAATCAGCAATACTTTTATGAGAATTTACTTGCTCTAGTATATATATATATATATATATATATATATATTTGTATATATATATATACTAGCTGACACGGCAAAGGTTGTTTATCCATACAAAATATTTCTAGTATAAAAATGATTTGTATGAAAATAACTAACTTATTGCAAATGTGGTGCACAAGTGAAAGGAGCAGTTAACAAAAAATATATAAATAGTTTACCTACTGCAAACCAGTAAAAGGGACTGCTAACAAAAAATATATAAATAGTTTACCCACTGCAAACCACGCCGCATATTAAAGTTCCTGGGTCATATTAATAGCGTTTGCAAGTGCAAACCTTATCTGAAACTATTATGAAATGGCTAATCTGAAATAGAGATTTGTGGAAGGTGGGTGAAAATTTAGACCTCAAAATAAAAAAAGGGTTAGAGTTGGACAACCCTTAAAAAAAATAAGGGTTAATCAACCCTTAATATATTTTGAAGTAACATTTAAGCTTAAATTATGTCAAATTATAGACCAAATTAAAATTAAAAGAAAATTAATTTCTAAGTTAAATAAAAATATGGATAAACAACTCATTATAAAAATAAACAGTTCTAAAAAAGAATTCAAAATTATCGAACATTAAAATAAACAAAATTAAACAAAATGTTAGGGTTAGACAACCCTTGATAAAAATAAATATTATTTTGAAGTAAAAAGAGTTGTATATATTTTGTCTATTCAGCATTAAAAAACTTAAAATAAAAACAGTTGACCCCAAAATTAAAGGAAGTATTTTAAAGTAAGATTTAAGCTTTTTCTTCAAGTTCAAAAATCTGAACTATAATTATATCAAAAATATTCAATGACTGAACGCACGATAAAAAATGATTAAATCGCTAAAATATCTTGGGGAACGAACTTTGTGACACTGAAATTTGATATATGTATGAGATATATAATAATAATAATGGGTTTAGGGAATAATAGTGTGAGAAGTTTTCCATTGCCATATTACAGCAGTACCCGAAATGGGCTACTTTTCAATTGGAAACATATTTTTAATTTATATTTTCAAGAGAAAATGGACATCGCTCTTACACGATGTTTTGTTTTGAACGAAGCGAGGTTTGAACTTCGAACCTTGTCCACACGAGTTCGTGTGTGAAAAAAAAGTGAACCAAATTAGAATATTCGAGAACTATTCGATAGATATTTAGCTTTCACGTCGACGCCCCCAGGGACGGTCGTGACAGACATAAAAAATAAAAAAATAGGTATAAAAACTAGAAAAACTTTTATTGTCAGAAACGATTTCATTGTCAAAAATGTGTAATACAACACAACATAATCCTTTAAACAAAGCTTATTATGAGTAAAATATAACAATATAAAACAAAACATATTTTTTTAAACAATGATAATAAGAAATGTTTGTAAAACCTTTTTTTTTCTTATATTGAATTTTTCTTTCTCTTTATTTTTTGCATTTTGTCTCAGCTGTTTGTTTGTTTGTTTGTGTCAATTTTTTCATCTACATAATCTTAACCCGAATAGAACCAGAAATACATGTCACAACCGTACTCAGTCTCCCCTACTTATATGTTTGCAATTATTTATACTTGTTTTGAAGTTAATGATTCACCGCTTTCTTTCATAAATACAAAATTCTATTAACGTTAATATAAATTATCAAACACTACTTTTTAAATACACACACAGATATATATATATATATATATATATATATATATATATATATATATATAAATGAGGGTTTCGTATAAAAATCTTGTACAACCACGTTTTTTAATGACACTTAGTACATGATACGCGTACGTTGAAACCAGATATACTCACAGGTATATTATATTCGTCACATTAATTCAGAAGCTTTATGATTTTTTTTTATAAACAATTAATTATTTAAATCATTGTTTTTATGATCAGAAGATTTATTATCATTCAACATATATAAAATATCTATTATCATTATATTTACTTATATAAAAATTAAGTTCATATTCGGTATTTTAAAAACGTTGCATAATTATTTTGATATATAGTTCTTCTCATTTAAAATAATTTTTTATGTTAAAAAATTCAAATGCATGTAGAGTCTATTAGTAAATATATTAATTACTTCCTCTTTTTTAATCACCATCATAATGTTATTCGAACAGAATAACATCTTCGATTATTTTTACTTTCAAAAATCGCGAATACAATAGATTTCAATTGCAAAAAATATAGAATACCAATTAAACAATTTATTAAATAATAATCATATTCTATATGTAAGATTTTTACAACGTGTTTAGTAGAAAGTGGTCCAAAGACACATCAGCAGTCGAAAAAGTAATCGAAAATCCTTAAATAATGTTCATTAAATTTATTGAACTTTGTTTAAAAAAAAAACTGGAATGCGCAATGATAGTTATTAATATAAATATTAGTTTTAATTAACTTTTGCAAAAAAAAAATGGTATAAAATAACAATTTAGATGATATAATTTCGATTATTTACTTATCCTACTAGAATAGCTATTTTTAGCGATATCGTAACAAATATTGATGGATCAATGATTGTAGTT